CATTGTTTATCTTTGCTGTTGGTTCTTGACAGAAGACGTGTACCAGAACAGAACAAAGAGTTTGCAGCATCCGTCCAGTGCGAAGCTTCAGGTCGATTTACAGCACCCTGCCCCACCCCACTTTGCTGTCTCGACCTCTTCTCTTTGCCGAAATCCACCAGTGTGGGAGGGTGGGTCATGTCCGTTGTCGGAAAAGGATACAAAGGTTGGATGGGATCTGTATTTTTTGGACCGTGCATGCTATGAAGGGGTTGGGCAAGAACTGCACTGACGCCACCCTGAGAAGAGGGTCTAGAGTAAGTTGCGAAGCCTGAGAGATTGCTTAGACGCTGGACTAGAATCCGAAGCTCCAAATTACGTGATCGCCCTGCGTCTCGACTTGACCTTGGCCTGAAGCTTGAAGCCTGAAGCTTGAGCCCAAAAGGTGGCCCTGGGCTTGTCACCAGTGACGACGGCAACGATCACGGCCATAGACACCTGCTTCGTGCAGGCGCTTACACGTCAACTGCGGCGGCACAGTGCCGGAACACTTCTAAGATCCGAGGGCAGAGAGTGCAGTGTTGCATGCACACAGGGCATGACAGGGCTTGAAGCTCGGTCACGCTCTTAGTGGCCAGGAGCTGCGTTCAAACGTCTTGATGACGGTCTTGGACAAGTTCCCAGAAGAGCGACAGAAGCTCAGGCACGTCGTTGCCTTCCGTTGCATCTCGTGTGTTTCCCCAGAGCAAAGAGCCGCACTGGAGCAGACACGGTGCATGCACCAGGCAGCTTGCAGCTCTTCGAATGGAGTGGAGGCGCTTGCTGTCTTGGTGACGTCCCTTTGTCTAGACTGTTGTAGTCTATACTGTCCGTCTTGCAGGTACGCGCTGCATGACTTGCAAAAATTTGATTGGCCTGGGCCCAGGTGAAAGCAGGTTTTGACCCGTCAGAATTCAATATTGATCAAGCATTACAACTTTGTGTTGAAATCTGTTGCTCATTCCAGCACAACACGGCAGTCAGAGCAAATGCCAGTGCACGCACCACGATGGCTGTAGCAGTGGCAGCAACAGCTACTGCTGCTGCTGCTTCTGCTATCACCGCGGCTACTCGGACTTGTACCACCACCGGCACCACCACTGCCAGCACACAGCCGCCAATGCTACCAACACTACTCCCGCTGTTCTTACCACCATGCGTATTCGGACTAGCAGGAGTAACTCTAGCAGTAGCAAAAGCGGTGGCAGTGGCGGTGGCAGTGGCAGTGGTTGTGGTAGTCGTCGTCGTAGTAGTGGTAGTTGGAATGAAATAATAATAATAATACTAGTAGTAGTAGCAGCAGTAGCAGAAGTAGAAGTAGAAGTAGAAGTAGAAGTAGAAGTAGAAGTAGAAGTAGAAGTAGAAATAGTAGCAGTAGCAGTAGCAGTAGCAGTAGCAGTAGTAGTAGTAGTAGTAGTAGTAGTAGTAGCAGTAGTAGTAGTCGGAGGAGGAGGAGGAGTAGTCGTAGTAGTCGTAGCAGCAGCAGCATCAGCAGTAGTAGTGGTAGAGGTAGAGGTGGAGACAGAAGTAGAAGTAGAAGTAGACGTAGACGTAGAGGTAGAGGTAGAAGTAGAAGTCGAAGTCGAAGTAGAAGTAGAAGTAGACGTAGAGGTAGAGGTAGAGGTAGAAGTAGAAGTAGAAGTAGAAGAAGAAGTAGTAGTAGTAGTAGTCGTAGTAGTTGTAGTAGTTGTAGTAGTAGTAGGAGGAGGTGGAGTAGTAGCAGTAGTAGTAGTAGTAGTAGTAGTAGGAGGAAGCAGTAGAAGTAGTAGAAGTAGTAGAAGTAGTAGAAGAAGTAGTAGTAGTAGCAGTAGTAGCAGTAGTAGTCGGAGGAGGAGGAGGAGTAGTCGGAGTAGTCGTAGCAGCAGCCGCAGTAGCAGTAGTGGGCGACCCCGCTAACTGTGGGCTAGGGTGGGGATGGGGCGGGGAGTGCTGGGGGAGGGGGGGGTGGGGGGTAGTGGAGGGAAACATGACAGCCTCTAACACTTATTCTGCTGCCATACTGGCTGGCGGTTTCAGCGAGTCTGCAATGGCCATGATGATGATCGTGATGGTTTGATGATGACGATGACCATGACGACGATAATGATGATGATGTTGTTGATGTTGACGATGATCGTGACTGTTTCTTGGCGTGCCTTACACTTCATCAGGTTTAGAGGGTCCTTTAATCCTGCATAGGGTTATCTGCTGAGCCCGTCGGGTGTTCACTTTTGTAGAGGGTCCGTTTTTCTCTTACCGTTTCCTCTCGCCAACAAGCAAACTTTGCCTCAAGGATCCGAGGGACTCCGGATGGCTTCCCGACCCTCCTGGAGCAGATGATCACGCGCTGGGCGTCGGACTCAGCGGGGTCGCCATTGTGCTTGGTGCTTTCTTTTGAGTCGAACTGGTTGAGAGACAGATGTGCAGCAGTGCTTGAGCCTAGATTTTCTTCCGCGGTGACGAGATGATGGTCCAGGGCTCCCCGGGAGACAGCCTTATGATGCTTGCCCGGCTTGTGGCACCTGGATCAGATCCCTGGAGGAGTGTCGCCTGATGCCAGGATTTCCTCTGGCTCCGTGGAAATTGTTCACGACGAGCAGGTCATCCGTGAACTAGGACCGTGTCCCGCAGAAGAGTTTCTGTTCCATGATTTGAAAGGGAAAGCCCTTTGTTGAGGAGGAGGGGATGTCCTCGGCGAGCTCGGTGCACTTGGCCAAAGCCTCAGAGCCCCCGTGACTTTTGGGCAGCTCGGATGTGCGCCAGCTCAGGAATTGCGCCGCTTCGAACAGCGACTGTGCGGTGCAAGGACTGTGAGGGTTTCGTGCCTGCCACCTCAAGATGACGCCTTGCAAGGACATCTGCGATGTCTATGTCCTGGCGAAGGTGGAGCTTGCTTGCCATTGTTTGCCGTCTTTTCTTTGCCAGAGACGTGAATAGAAGAGCGCGAAAAACGTAGCCGTGTTTGACGAGAAGGCGGCGCTGACGCGGGCGTGTGCGTCCTAGAGGTTCAAGCTTGTCAGCCAGGGATTGCCGTGTTGGAGTTCGTTCACCGAGTACTGTACCGATTTTACCAAGATTGAGTCTCCACCCTGAGCAGATGGCCATGCGCCAAGTCATGGCTGATTATGCGAGCGGGAGCTGCTTTGTATGCGCAAAGCTCCTGGTCAAGGACCCCTTGCGGAAACTTGCCACCGCGCGCATGCGGAGGCGAAAAAAAATGAGATATTCAAAGAAGATGCGGGAAGCCAGAAGCGAAATCTTGGCCAGTGACGTCGAGCGCACATCGGAGAAGCATGTCCTGCTCAACTGCCCGCTCTTCCAGCAATGCAGCAGGCCGAGCTTTGACGTTTGGAGAGGCCCATAGCTTTTGCGCGTTGTCCGCAGGAAATTCCTGGATCGCATCTCAGAGCACCTGGAGGCCACCGGTCGCCGGCCTGGAATAGCAGTCAGTTTGAATTGCAGTGTCTGACAAAAAAGGACCGCCTCTTCATGGAGGGTGAGGATCTCTGCATTGAGGGCGAGAAGGGTGACACCATGTTTGTTCTCATCCAGGCATGCGAAGTTCTGGAGCGTGTGGGGAAAGCATCCCATTTCGGCATCTGGCAAGGGCACCTTGAACGTGTTTGTGACAGTAGATGCCATTCCCTCGGTATACTTCCAAAACCCTGTTGTGCAGAGACCATCATCTGCTTTGGTGGTGACACCGAGGGAAAGAACAAGAAGGTGAACGAGCTGCACAAGGGGAGTGTGATCGGCGAGATCGCGGCTCTTCAGCTGCAAAAGAACATACGTACATACTGCAAGAAGACGGGTTTGAGCCGGGGTATGTCAGCAAGTCCGCACCTGCCGGAGGTGTTGGGGCTCGCAAGCCATCGAACTGCCACCCTCACAGCAAAGACGGTGGAGCCCCCACTATACCAGTCTTCGCCTTCGGGCCAGCGGGACCCTGGCTGTAGCCTCTCGGTGGTTGAGGTTTGCTTGGTTCAGATCCTCCATCGGCCCATCCTGATGAAGTCTCTCTGCCTCTTTATCTTGAGGCTCTGTTTATTTGTTCTGTTTTTTTTTTGGGGGGGGGGGGTGGTGGTTGCAAATCGGGCCGGCCCGGCCAGGTATCTCAACGAGTTCCCTCGTGAAATCGCGACCTTCCAGGAGGCTGAAATTCAGCACCGCATTGGGGATGGTTTCGCTTGTTGCGTCAACCGCTCATGGTAGGTTGGGGCATCGCGGCTCACGAAGAGCGGTATCAGCAAGAACACCCTTTTCCCGCAGCAGGCACGCGATTGCAGGAGCCAGAACCTTTGAGTGTCGCTGAGATCCGCTGAGGTCCTCTTCCGATACTGTGGCTCGACCTTCGTCGAGGAGGTCTGCAGGGTGCCTACGGAAACCGAAACCTCGAGCTTGCGAGTGAGAGTGGTGAAAGCTTCAAGCGAAGCATCCAGCGGTATTGAAAGGTTGCGGCAGTTCCGCCGGGCTCAGAGACATATTTCCCAACCACCCGGTCCAAGGCAAAACGTTGCAGCGAAAGATTTGCTTCCCTGGACAGGCACGACACAGGAAAGAAGCTGCATGAGACGCTGCTTAGGAAACGAAGGTAGCCCTCTAGCCTCATGTCATATGAATAGGTTCGTCTTTACGTTACGTGCGTGTCTGACTGACATGTTTGCCTGCGTGTGCGATCGAAACACTTGACAGATCATCGTGGAAGAGGGCGCTGAAAGCCAGGACTCCATGCAGATCGCTTTGAGCGTTGATGGTGCTTTTTTTTGTGTCCCTTCGCCTTCGAGGAAATGTATGCCATCGCGCAGGGACACGCATCGGCAGCTCGCAACAAAAATAGAGTGAAGCACCGTCCGGCAACAAGTAAAATCAAGGTGGAGAAAGGCGGCACGAAGCTGGGAGAACTTCATCAAGGATCCGCATTTGGTGAGAGGGCCGTCCTTGGCATGATGTCGATCCAGTTGGTGAGCATCAAGGCCGGGCTGAAACGAAACAAGATTCAACGGAAGATGATGCAACACGATGCAATACAATACAATACAGGTCGATAGACATCTATCACAACCCACCCGATGTTAACGCTTTTGTGGCTATGAAGGGCACAGCAATACCACCGTCCCTTGCAGAGAAACAGTGGGCCTTCAAGCGCATGTGCATTCCAATCTTGCTCCAAACCCCCACATCCGTGAACTGAAAGCCGCACATTGCCTTGCATCCGGCAGGCTGAGAGCATGTGCGATTTGCAGTACCTGAACTGCCACGAAGCTTGGACAAGCTTTGCATAGGGCGTAGAGCTGATGTGAAAAAATCGAAGTCAGTACTGTACAGTTCGCTGTGCCAGTGGCTCGCAGTGCGTGTACATCGGCAGCACCATATACCTATCCATAGACACCTTCAACATATATAGACAGCTTTGTCTCGTTGTCTCTGTTTGTCTGGATTTGTCAAGGCTAGAATCATTTGCATCCGCATCTGTATCCATACCTGTGTAATGTGCATGAACAAAATTTCCCCCACCAATCATACGTAGTATGCGCAGCATACACTCCAGATCCGTCTGTTTCTGTATTTTCATGCTTCTGTGCAAGGGCGACTCCCTGTCTCGTATCACGTTTTTCAGAGACCGGCTGAGTAGGGCTGTTGTACCTCTGCAGGGCAGATGAAAGCAGTTTCCCTACCTCACGGACCAAGGACCTGGAAACGATGCTGGCGAACTTCACTGAGGAGAAGAAGTGCCTCGGCTGGGCGGGGACGGGCTCGTTTCTCCATGCATGGTCCATCGACCCGCACCGACTCATCCGAGTGCGGGGTTCAAGTCGCCTCAGTTGTTGCCTGAGGCACCTCTTGCAGGCGGTTGCAGGCATGATGCGAGAGGCTGGTGCACGCGTCTTCACACACACACATTCGGCACAGGCTCGCTGCTTCAGTGATCTCAGGACATCGCAGAAATCACAGACCATGAGATCTTGCAAGAAGTTCCACTTCTTGCAGTCTTGGGAGACGACTTTATCCAGCATCTGCTAGGGTCTCTCCAGGCAGGTCGCTGGTGCTAGTCGAAGTGCCTTCAGCAGCTTTAGCAGAAGCACTGCGTGTCAGGTGGGCGCCGCAAGGAGAGACGAGCCTGTGAAGAGCAAGTCAGACGAGCTCTTCGTTGTCATCCTTCAAGGCCCTTTTCGAGCCATCCGTAGGCTTCCTTTGGGATTGAAGCTGGCAGGCCGCGCATCTGTCCAGCTGGATGGCAGCACACTTCGTGAGCTATCCGAAGGCAAAACACAGAGGGGATGCCGCCCTTTGCTGCCATTGGTTACCTGCCCTTGGCTGCCCTTGGCTCTGGAGGCGAAAGCTTTGGGGAGGCCGCCTGCCTTGGGCTGGCGGTGCCTCCGAAAGGCGACCTGGCCCTGGAGCTCTTCGCGGCCCGGGGCACACAGCTTGCCACTGGCCACTGGGAACTCCAGGTCTTTTTCCCTGTCCGAGGTGGGGCAGAGCTGCTTGTATCTTTCTGCCACAAAGGCGGGGGCTCTGATGCTTCGTTTGTAGAGGCTTTGTTTCAAGCGTCGCTGGGTGGTGTTCAGAAGGCTGGGTGGTGCAGACTCTTTGCCCAGGATGCGGTGCAGCGAGCCCTTCAGCAAGAAGGCCTTCATGCTGTGGGGCTTCCGGGAGACGAGACACCGTACCAGAAGAATCGTAAGAGCCCAATGCGAACACCAGCTCGTCGGGACATAGTGCAACACTACAGTTGCCAATATGGAGCAATGGCAGTGAAGCGTGAGTGCGGAGTTTCTTGACTGATGTGCCTCCGGAGCTTCCAGGAGCCCGCATGCGAGACAAGCTTCGCGGTGCCGCTCACGGAGGGTTTCTTGTGTCAGTTGAACCAAGAAGCTTGCACGAAGTTGGAGCCCGGTGCAGCCCGGCTGTGGAAGCACCGCTGCACAATGACAAAGCCGGTGTGTCGCCAAGGCAGCGTCACGGTAGCTCCGGGCTTCGCGAGGGTGGCCGCGCTCTGAGCGCGGATTGAGCGACAAGTAGAGGCAGAGACACCGGCATCCAGCAACCTCCAGCCACGCTCCGCTGCCCAGCCTCTACAGGTTCTCGAAAGCAGCCCTTTGAGCTTCCTGCAGATGACGCAGGCGCCGGCCGCCACCGGCCTTGAGGGATGGCCGCGTCAATGCGCGTCAAGCGACCCTGCCAGGATCAGCTGACGCAGCTCTACGACAGGCAGCCTGGGAGAGTTCTGCAGCTCTAAGAGCAGTAGACTTCTGGACGTACAAAGTGGCGTGTGGTGACCGTGTGAGAAGGTGCGAGGAGTGCTTCTGCCTCGAGACCCAGGCACCAAGTCGAGTGTTGGAGACGCTTTCATCGACAAAAGATTTCTTCACGTCCAGCACCTGCAGTTATCAGATATGACAAGCATCAGCATCAGAAGAGTCAGAGGGCAAATCTGTGCGTAGTGCGGCGCAGGACCTCCTTTCCGTTCGGCACCGGCACAGAACTCTGCTCTTCCTCCTTGCAGGACGAAGCCAAAGCCCGAAGCCCCGTTTTGGCAGTGTTTGTGTCGACCCTAGCCGTTCGCTCCAGGAAAAGCCAGCTGCCAAGTTGGCTCCCAGCTTACTTGGGCGGAAGCTCGGAGTGGACGTGCCTCTTCGAGTGCCGTCATCCGTGCGAGAAGGTGACGAAGAGCTCATTCTCGAGCTCGGGTCCCAGAGTCTCAGAACGAGGGCTTCTTTTGGCCACTCCCCCGTGTTGGCCTAGACCCGGCAGCTCTCTCGTGCACACGCCCGGGGCCTTTTGCCAAGAGCAAAGGCTTTCGTTGCTTGGCTCTGCTTCGGTGCAGGAGCAAAGACGGTCCGGGGCGTGGGCCCGTCTTTCCGGCTTGCGTTGTCCTTTCTTTGCAGCATGCAATCATCATCTAATCTTGTCATTGCCTGCATGGATATTTGCCAGGTGACTGCCGTCGTGCACTGCAAGGCTGGGAGCCGAAAACAAGTCTCATTTCGGTGAGCAGCTATGCAAGTTCTGCACCTGCAGTACCTCCTGCTCAACAAGCGCGTGCTGCTGTCTGTCCTGAAGGCCCAGCCCGAGGAGGACCAAGCCCAGCAGTGCGGCCTTCCGGGATCTTTGTCCGTGCGTGTTTGCATGCGGCCCGTGGCGAGTTCTGGGCTCAAGCCTAGCTCACCAACATGGGTGATGCCGACGGCGAGACGAGGCACAGTGGTGCCAGGGGGCCGGTTTTCTTTGTGAATGTCGAGTACAAGATGCGTCTTGTGAGTCTTGTGTTGTGGAAGGCATGCCAGCCGCAGTGCAAGCTGCGAAGAGGCACGGGGCTCGGCCCATCCATGCGTTATTCGACCAGAGCCGAAGAACGTGGGAGCCGGTGGAAGTGCGGGTGCGAGGCTGCCGAGAACGGCCGTGGCGGAGGCCGGGGTAGAGATCAGATTGGAACAAGGCGAAGATGAAAAGCTCAGAGCTGAAGGCCGCGAGGGCCGCGAGGGCCGCGACGGCCGCGAGGGCCGTGACGGGCGCGGAGGCGAGCAAGGCAAGCTCTTCATCGGACAGCTGCCCGGCCGCAGACACGGTTTCAGTTGGGCCTCAAGCTGGAGCTGTTGTGATTGAAGTGCCAGGCTTTCCTTCGAGGCGGAAGAAGGCTGGGAAAAGTCTATCAGTTACCTGCAGTTTCGGAGGAGTTTCGCTGTCAATTCCGACGCACACCATTGACCGTTGGGCTGGCACTTCCTACTACATTACTTTGCAACAAACACTTCACTTCTTCTGAGCCCTTCGCTCTTCAGGCGACATCCAGGAAAAGTTTGGGAGATACGGACAGATTTTGAATGCTCGCAGCTTAGCCAGAAGCCGTCCAGAACTGCAGGCGCACTTTCATGTCGCTGTGTGCAGTGGAGGTCCAAATCATCAAGGATAATGCGACAGGGAAGTCCAAAGGTTATGGATACTCGGCGACATCTGCCCCTTCCTACAGTGTTTCCGTGTACGGATGTAACATTATATCTCCGTACCTACCTATGCTGCCTAAGCTCAGGCTTCATCAAGTTCGCAGATCCTGCAGATGCCGAGAAGGTGCTGAGGCCAGGCCTGGGCCTGTCGTCCTTGTCGTTACGAGGTGTGCTTTTGGGCGGTGCAGGACCATGGATGGCGCTGACATTTGCGGGCGCCGGTGTCACCCCCTTACAGTACATCTACGTTCAGGGTGTAGCGGTATGCAGCAGTGCTTGCACATGGATCCAGTGCTGCAAGGCAAGTTGGACCGTGCAGGCGGCGGCAAGTCGCATGGTGGGGGGCAAAACATGCCTGATGCCCAGTGTACAGTGTAGATCAGTGTCGTTTAGGTGGTTTTGACGGGTTCATGCCGTGACATGCATCAGACCACTACGTACTACGTACTGTAGCTGCTCCCAATCAGTTTGTGGATGTTGCTTTCTCGTCCGATTCAGGTCCCGTTACGAGCGAGACGACCGCCGTGGTGGCCGCGGCCGAGATGGTGGGATGCCACTCCGCAGAAAAGAGGAACTCTCGTCCTCCCCCACCGGGTATAACCCCTTGCTGCTGCTTGGCGCGTTTGGCGCAAAGAGGGCGTCGGTGTGTCAGTGTAAGAGAGAAGGGCCTTGCAGAAAAGGCCTGGCCGACTGGACCGCAGACGGACCGAGTGCTGGGAACGGGACGAAAGGTTAAAGCCCGGGCTTCTGCAAAGCCCGGCCAAGAGTCCCAAAATCCCCGCTAGGATCCGCGAGCTCCGGAACCCATGGCTGAAATTCACCGATTCGCGGGGCGATGAGTGCGTGAAAACGCTTAGGAAGGCCGCCGAGCCGGAGAAGCTCTTCATAGGGAAGCTTCTTGCCAGCACTTCCGCTCTTTGGCTGCCACGGGGATTCACGTGAGCTTGCGGTGAGGTTAAGCCTGGATGCGACAGAGGACCGTGCTGCAGGGGACTCTTGCAATTGACTCCTCGTGAATCCTGCCACTTTTTCTTCGAGGAGGATGTGCAGGACGCCTTCCGGAGGCTCTGTGATGTGAAGGTTCAGATCATCAAGGATCGCGACACTGGCGAAGCGCGTGGCTTTGGATTCATCACCTTTCCGGACTCTTCCAAAGCGGAGGAGGCGCTTCACCGGCAGCGTCAGCTCTTCCCATAATCTCTGGTAGATCAACGGTCTCTTCGAATCTTCGACTTCACTCAGCCACTCCAGAATTGCTGCGGTTCGCCAGCTGGCATGCAGAGCCGCTTGCTACATTGCAGGAGTCTTCCTCAACTCGTCCGCTTGAATGCGCTTGATGCGTTTCAGCTCTTGCATTTTGCGCTTGGAGCTTTTGCTTCATCGTGCACCGGTCCGGAAGCATGATAGCACAAGACACGAAGGGTTTCAGAGATCGGCACAGGCTCGCCCACATCTTTACCTAGCTGGACCCCTTCTTTTGTTTCTTTTCCATGCGTTCTAGGGTGCTTCTTGCCGTGCCCTCCTTGACAGGTCTTCAGCTTTTTCGCATCACTGTCCTAGCATCTGCTTGACCGTTGCTAGTTGCCACTCGTGGTGCAACGATTTGGTGCTGGAGACGACTTCCAGACCTCTCGCAGCCTACAGCGCACGATTCGTAGCCAGGCAGTGACATGATCGAGGCCAAAACAACTGACTCCTGGTGCTCCCGACGTGTTCGTAGATCGCAGATCCCCTGACGAGGCACTTCGAAGTCTTCAGGGCGCTGAGGTCGCAGGGCAGCCCTGCCGGCTCGAGCGGCCAGGGCAAAAGCGTGGAAGGCACGTAGGATCACATGCTGCAGAGTGCGAGTGCTTTTTGCTAGAGTCAGAGTTCTCGTCTGCTCAAGCTGAGCCTGCACAGTCTTGAGAGTGCTCTTTGCATCGCCACTGCTCTCCCTGAGGGATGGCTCGCCCAGTCGCTCACAAGGCCGTCACCGAGACCACGCTCGGGCAAGGTCACGGCAGCCTGGAAGAACGAGACCTCTAGCGCACTACCCATCCTGGACCCCCATCCTGGAGGGGAAGTGGAGCTGTCTCTGGGAGCCGTTGAGCCCTCCTTCCCAAGGTCTCGAGGAGGCAGAGGCCAAGGCCGCGAGGACTGGGACGCCCGAGGCGACGACCGGAGGCGGGGCCTTCAAGCTCCCAGTTCTCTGGATCAGCCGCCGTTGTAGTGACCGAAAATTAGGGGGGGTGGGGGGGCCCTTCGTGTCAAGGGTTGAGGCTTCTCCCACCGCATACCAAGCCAAGTCAACTCGCCTCGGTGGGCGAGTCTCCAGCACCTCCCGGCATGGCTCTTGGAAAGATGACGGTGCAAGTGGAGAGCTTTGGAGTTCTTGGATGCTGCTGTGCCTCGGGTGGATCCCGCTGGTGCAACGCCTCTAAGCAGCCAGAAGTCTCCGCGAGGAGACAGCGAGGAGCAACACATGTTCAGCAAACCTCGCCGACACTCGCCGACGAGTTGCAAGGTGAGGTTCAGTGTCGACGTCGACTTGGTTAGGTTCCATAACTGCTCTGGTGGCAACCGAGCCTAGCTTTCAAGTCCGACTGCTTCGGTTTTTTGATATAAGTCCCGGGGCTGATGGATGCATGCAAGGCTCTCGACTGCAGCCAGACAGCCCGTGCAATTTTGGCATATTTGCATTGCTCAGCAAAGTGGCGCCAGCAGCCGGCATCATCGCGTGGAAGTGGCACATCAGATGCACTTCGTCGGATGGATGGGCAGCAAAGTTGGCAGCATCCGTGCTTCCGGTTGCAGATTCACCGTCTCCTGCTAGAGCATCCGAAAAACCAGAGAGACGCATCTCAGCACCTGGTTCCAACGTAAAGTCGGTTGCCAGCGGTGTTTCAAGACATGTCACGACCCTGGTGTACCCTGAGATCGTTGGCGGTGAACTTGACCTTAGCTCTGCCGGCTCTCCCTGAGAGGCATGGCCGACGGCGTGATGCTTTCGAAGCCCGAGGGCCTCGGGACCGCGAGCGCCGCCGCGCTCTTAGGCCACAAGAGAGCGCATCTCCGGCTCTCGGCTTCTCCGCTTCTCTCAGGTGAACGCGGGGAGCGAGAGCGGGGAGGAGACCGAGAACGGGACCGGCCCGAGCGCGGCGAGCGAGGCGAGCGCGGCGAGCGCGGCGAGCGCGGGCGCCGGGAGCGCGACCGACCCCACCGAGGCTCGGAGGATCGGATTGTGGAGCTACTGGAGGGGTTTCAGAATCCCGGGTCTGTGGTTTGGAAGGTGCTGCGCTGGATCTCCGGATGTTTGTATATGATTCGAGGGGGTGCTGTTGCTCAGCCATTTCCGATTGAATCAAGTTGAGCTCTAACTTCCTCGCTAAAGCTTAAACTTGCAACCTCTCCCCGAAAAGGATTGCAATCGCCCCAGGTGAGTCGCAAGACTCGCGGGCGGCCGACCGGGAGCCACGCCGTGGTGAACGCCAGCGCTCTCGCACACCGGATGGGCTGCCCAGGATATTGGGACTGAATTGAAAGGCTTTGGCTCTTGCAACACCCGTGTCACCCCTACTTTTGCTGTGAGACGTTTGTCTGTATGGCATGTCATGAAATGGTCATAAAGAGGGCCATAAGCAAGCGGCAAGAGGTAGGCAGTACCGGCCTCAACTATCAGGAAAAGCGAGGCCATCAATGCCGCACGTGTGGCATACGAGGAGACTTCCGTTTTGATCCAGACTTGACATGACCCGAGTATACAGATGCGTCCTCCAAGCAGGGTGTGCTGAAACACTGCAGGAGACAAGCCGCCGTTTGCAAATGGCGCAGACGGAGGCAGACTCAGCAGAGGCGTTCTTGGGTGTGTTGGGGCCGGGCTCTAGTAGAAACTCTTGCAAGATTCAAGATTTTGGCCAGGCAGCGTACAAGAAGATGCAAAAAGCAGCTGATCACGCTGTCGACCGCAAGGCGTCTTAAGCGGGGAGTCGGAGATTGTGTCGGAGGCTGGAGGTTCCTGAGAGCCGGGAGCTGAGGTGGCGGAGGAGAGCAGCCACATCAAGAAAGATCTCGAGCTGAAGCTTGGCTCGACACTTAGAGCAGGTCTGAGCAGGCGCCGTCGAGATACTGCATTCGGCAAATGAAGAGGCTTCTTCCTTTGCTTTTTGGCTGTGGGTCTGTGAGGTGCCATGAAAGCGGGGTCGAAGAACGCCCTGGCGCTGGCCCTGGACGACGCCGAGCTGCAGCTGCGCCAGGAGTTGGCGGACAGGATCTCGCAGATGAAGAAGGCGCGCGTTTCGACGCAAGCGCACAGTCTATAACTCCAGAATGTTGAAGCCCCAGAATCTGCCAAACCCCTTTCCGATTTCTGCGAAGGAGTACCAGAAAAAAGCCCGGTTCCCAGCAGCTAGTTCCTGCCTTTGCGCCGTCGGGTTTCGGGCACGAACCGCCAGGGTCTTACATCTTTGGGAGCAGATTCTTGCGCTTGAAGCCCGTTTTATCTAAGTTAGAACGGGTTCATATGGATTCCGAACAGAATATCGGCTAGGGTTTCGGAAGTTCAAGGAGTTTGGGGTTTATAGGTTTAGGGGCTTTACACTTCTGAACCACAAGGTTGAAGACGAGCATGGCCGGATCCGGCGGCAGCATGCGGAGGAGGCGGAGGATGCGGAAGCGAAGGTGCCGGGCAATCGCCCTTGAAGGGTTTTGCATCTCAGCGGTTTTTAGGAGTGCGCGGCTTTATGGTTTGACTTGAGTCATTGAGGCTTCAGATGGTTTTAGAGCTGTTAAGGAACAACCCTGCAGGTGCAAGAGGAAGCTGAAGACAGAATCAAGGCGCCCAGAAACACGGCTCAGGGGTGCGGTCGCTACTCGCTCGCTACTCCTGAGTCCGAAGAGTCGGATTCACTTCTGCGTGCTTCAGTCGCCGAGTGAGCAACACCGCGCAGCCTTTTCAAATGTCAACTCCGAAGGAGCTTCGCAGAAAAGCCGAAGAGGAGGAGAATCCTTGGGAGTGGCGAGAGGCTCGCGACAAGGCACACAGCTGTTTCGATTTCGGGGCCATTGCAGCAGCGAGCTTTTGTTTTTGCTGCCCATGTCATTTGCACAGCCTGCAAGGCTGTCGAAGCCTTGCAGAAGGAGGAGGTGCGAATGGCCAAACTGCAATGAGCAGAGGGCTCTAAGCAAAAAGGCCCCGCCCAGAATCCTTGGCAGGAGAAGCTGGACTCGGCCAAGCGACGATTGGAGACTCTGACCGGTGGGCCAGTGAAGGACTAGAAGGGTCTCTTGAGTTCTCTTCCATGGGTTGCAGTGATGTTCAGTGCCCTCGAAAGTCCGACAGCTCCAAACTCTCTTGGTGCAGAAGGATCGTCGCTCTCGATCTCTGTTGCCCAGAGATCGAGAGAAGCGAAAACGAGTTCCCCCTCCTCCACCGCAGGCACCATGTCGGCTTTCTGACAGATTTCAGTTGCCTCGTCTGTCTGAACGTTTGAATGACAAGACCCGGCGATTTCATTGGTCTATTTTGCTGGCGAATGGTTGGCTTGCCTGCTATAACTCTGCTCTGTTCACAATCACCACGAGCTCCGCCTGGAGAGTTGGCAGGCGCGGGGTCGCGACTGAGATCGGCCAGCGCGGCCGTCCAATCATTCTGGAAGCGCGCAGGCGCGAAGGGCCGGGCGGCGGTTGAAAGCAGAGCACTGTTGGCTGGGCCGGGCCAGGTCTCCATCTGGGCAGGGCGCACTGGCAGCTTTCGCATGCGGATGGAGTGTCTGTTGCAAAAAGAAACAGCGCGGTGCCCCTCGGCTGTGGCTGCCTTGACTCATGTTGTTTCATGCTTCACGGAAAGCCTCTGCACAGCAGGAGCGGCAGCGGCTGCTGCAACGATGGGAGGCTATGCCCGGCCAGGTGCGGAGTGCGCAGGTGCGGAGGGTCTGGTTCGAGCAGGAAAACTGAGGCAAGTAGGAGATTCTTGATGGATGAGCTATGATGAGCTTAATGGCGGCTCAAGTCGCTCCTGAGTACAGAAGCATGAAGAGTCCGAGCAGTTGCAGTTGGTCCAGCCCGTTCTGAACAGGTTAGAGGGCGACATGTGAAGGTTCGTGGGGCTCCGGCAGCTGTAGCGCAGCTCGGGTCGGCATTCGGCATGGCTCCTTCCACTCCTTCGCGCTGGCCGCCGGAGGCTCCGAGAAGTCGGAGAAGTCGGAGGCTGCCGAGAGGCCGGTGCTTGCGTGGTGGTGGGCTCCTTAGCCGCTGTGGCCACTCTGGCCGCTCGCGATGGCCTCTGAATACGGTCCCCCAGGGGATCCGACCTGCTGGCTGGGCAACATCAACTTTGAGACATGCTGCCTCCCTCCGCCGAGAGGAAACGACCATTGCTGGGAAGGCGGCTTCACCTACGAGCGCTGTTGCCGAAGAAACCCAAACGAGCCGGTGGACATCAACAAAGTGGCAGAGATCTCTGAGCTTGGGGGCTGTGAGTTAAACATCTTCCAGGAGTTCAAGGAGCGTGCAGGTGGGATTGTCTTCTTGAGCGTGCAGGTGGGATTGTCTTCTTGTGCTCTCCTACGCACACAGAGCCTGCGCAGGTGCGTGGTACCGCGATTACGTGCCAAACTTGGTGCTCTTCCAGGAATTTGGTTACATCTCTCGCCGGTTTGATGCTATGTACAGGACCGCCAGCAAGTAGTTCCCCACCTTCCAGTATTTGTCGACTGGTTGCTGGGGTCATCTCTGCACTTCAGGAGCTGTGCACCTGCCGCTCGAGTCTCAGTTGCTTTGCCTGCACTGCACGACCACGTAAAACACAAAGAGGCCCTTCCGGCCTTTTCACGAATGACAGGAGCCAAATTGCAAAGAGCGAGCTTCAAAGCGTCACTACTCGCCTTGCAATTCCGTTGCTGGCAGAGGCCCTCACTGCCCTGCTACTCAAGCTGGAGTCCATCTATTTCGAGGAGGACACATGAATCCGATTTTTTGTGTCAGGGCATCAAAAGGCATGAAAAGTTAGAGACAGAGAGCTCCAAGTCTTGCAGATCCTGCGCGGAAAGGAGTCCATCTGGGCGCCGCTCTACGCACATTATGCGGAGCAGCACCACCAGGCCCACACTGAACGTCCCTAGTCGGGGCCGCTGAAAATGAAATGGACACGAAGAGCAGATACCGGGAAAGGCCGTGGCCAGTGGTGACTTGTTGCAACTCGGCCGCAAACATGCTGCCTCAGCAAGGCCTCACTGAGATGTAAGCGTAGAGGTTTTGATGTCTTGCTCGGCTCAAGCTGAACTGCCAAGACATGGCCGAGATGCTCACAAACTTGTCTAAAGCAGATGCTTGCCGGCCGACTGAACGAGCGACGCAACAAGAAATGCATGGAAGGGCATGCAACTTTGATCCGAAAAACGATGTGAGACTTTTGCGGACCGCCCGGAACCGCCTTACCGGCCGCCATGCAGGGCCAGTTGCCATGGAGAGCATCCGAGCTGGTCCAGGCTCCGCACGCCTTGCCGAGTACACGGTCGCGGCAGGTCCGTTTCTTAGCCCTTCTCAGCCACGACTGCACCCCTTTGCAAACGATTTGGGATCTGGGCAACAGCAGAAGGCTAGAAACCCTGAGCTAAATCCGGTCAAGGCCGTCCAGGCCCCGCAATGCACACGGGCAGCATCCGGACTGGCATGCACCTTACTGGGAGGCCGGGTCACGACTGAAACTCTCGTATCCGAACCGGCTCGGATTGACTGCTGCACTTGGAGGCTTCTACGTTACGAAGAAGCACTGCGCAAAGACAAGAAGTCTCAGAAACGGCCGGAGCCACGTGCTGTTGGCGGCCAGCCGTGATGTCCAGGACATTGGTGCTTGCCAAGGCTTGCTTAATGTCGTTTGGTGCTTGCCTACCGATGCAAGGTGGTAGGTGGCATGATACTGTATCAGAGTGCAGTACCTTTTCGCATCCGGTGTACGTGCAAATGCAGTTCCCTGCGGCGGTTGCGAGATACTGAACTCAGCATGCATGCAGCTTTGATGATGACCAGGAGATCGCAGACGAGGATGTGGAGCTCTTGAGGCAAGTCTTGCCTGAAGTCAAGGAGCTGGTGGTGCTGCAGAAGAGCAACATGGACTTGATCCTCCAGCTGGCAAGGACCATGGTCCCCGTCCAGGCATCCAAAGGGGAGGTGCTTGCACAAGAGGGCCAGCCAGACAGCTCCATGCTCGTCGTGGCGGAGGCTGCATGTTTTGGAAACATTAGGCCCACCAGTATCTGCAGTGCTTGAAGTAGGCATGGGATCCCTGATCCGACAGCTGCTTACGACCAGTCTTTCGTCGCATGGAACCCTGACAGGGTGACGTTTTGCTGGAGCGGGCAGAGCAGTCCAAGGGCAAAGCGAGCCGTGGAAGCTACTTCGGAGCCGAGTGCCTCTTGGGAAACAGCCCGCACCGAACTTCTGCGGTTGCAGAAAGCGACTGCCGCTTACTGCGATTGGACCGCACCAGCTTTGACGCTGTTGTGCTCTCTCAGAGAGACGAAGATGAGCTGGACGAAGAGGATGAGGATGACGAAGGCGAGGATGGGGCTACCTGCCTGCCCGGTGATCTGGTGGACATCTTTATTCTTTCAGACAGCACCGGGGAGTCTGCGAGTGCGTCAGTCCGAACTGCTGCCCAGCAGTTCCAGTACTGCTCGGGTTCGACATGTGCCGCCAGCCGAACTACGGTCTTCCGATTCATTCGATCTGAATCGGAGATCCGAAAGATCATCGCATCAGCAAAGGAAAAGAAAGCCATGTTGGCCGAGGCCTCAGCAGATCTCGTCAGTGTGGGAAGCCACGGGGGTATCTTGCAGCTCTAGGCTATACCTTGACTCTCAGGTCTACACGGTCATGGATCCCAAGTTGCACGAGGTGGTGGTGCAGGAATGCGAAGCTAGCCAAGTCGAGAGTCGCTAAGATGCAGCTACCCCGATCCGTAAAAGCGGCTCGAGTTGCCTAGTCACCCCTAGCTCCCCGAGTCCTAACCGGCGATGCAGCTGAAGCCGCTGGCCCCCTCAGGTATTGACCTGTGGGGTCCCCTCCTGGCATCTCTGGAGCAGAGATTTGGTGCAAAGCGAAGTGGCATCTTTGGCCGACACCAGATCGTGACGGATGAGTACATGACAATTGTCAGCTTCTCAGCACTACGTTTCGCTTGCGTGTCACAGGTCACATGACGTTGCACTGCGACGTTTTTGAACATTCTCTAATCTTGGAGACCCGGTGCTCAGGTGAAAGCAATCGAGTACACGCGCAAGGTTGACGATGGGGTTTCATGTCGCGGTTTGGCCTTGTCCGTGTGTTGGATTCGAGTGTAGGGTGTCACATTTGGCATCGTCAGAGATCTAAGGTTTTGCCCAATCTATGGGATGAGTGCGACATCATGCTTGTTGGCCCATCCCGTGCTGGCAAGACCCCTCTGTCCTTCTACTTGGCCCAGCGAGGGTTCAAGGTCTGCGGGGAGTTTGCAGGGCATCCGAACCCCAAAACAACACAGACACAATGTCAGGTCGCGAACTATCCGCTTATTCCAGATGAGGAGCCGCCCAAGGACCAGCTGGGGTGGTCAGAACACAGCAAGATTTGTTTCGCAGAGGATAGCTGTCCAGGAGCTGTTCAACATCGACCAGCAGAAGTGTTTTGCGCTACAAATCAAGCCTGAGCGTTTGCAAGAGATTCGCATCTCGGCCGACAGCTCGAACCTTGCAGAAATGTGCCCCGTTTATTTCTTTTCTGGCACAGGCACCCAGCGAATGAAGCAATTCAACCGCAGAAACACTGACTACGCAAACTTGTGGCTTGTCTGCACGAAGCCTGAGCATGATCGATGTGATTGCCGGATGTGCATCCAGGCTTGCAATGCAGTTACAGGCACTGAATCACATGCCCAAGGAACAACATCAAGAAGGAAGTCAGCTGGATAAAGAGTTTCTACTTGCATCTGGGACGGGCATCTGTGGCATGTGCGAAAATTTTCGTGCATCTTGCTTTGCTACAGAGATCGTTCGGATTCAACTTGTGCCCCATGGAGACTGCTCCATTACAGTAGGGACGATGTAGTGACGTCTCAGGCGACGAGGTCCCAAATGGCCCATCATAGTGTCTCGGTCAACATGTGGGTGCTTGGAAGGGGAGCATTGCTGTGTTCGACGATCTTCTCAGGACACAAGCAATGCAGGTGTTGCAGAGACGGCCGCAAGAATTATGGAGATCCTAGATCGCCGGAAGGTGGGGTCCATCACCAATGATGCGCGCACACACACACACAAAAACATATATATATATATACATATATATATATAACATATATATGTATGTATGTATACATACGTACATACATACATAATTACATACATACATACATACATACATACATACATGCATACATACATACATATCTATCTATCTATCTATCTATCTATATATATATATGTATATACATACACACATATCTAATACGCATGTGTTTATAAGTTTGTACAGGTTCTCCATAGAGTGAAGACTCACACATGGGTGGACACACAGGTACACAGGCAGGTTTAGCTGCGGATTTAGGTGTATGCAGTTTCGTCTTCATACAGAAGTTATGTACCCTTAATGGTCTATACTGTGCTGAGTTATGCAATGTTTTTCTGTCTGTTTACAAGAAGAAGCTACATCCACACATCCACACATACAAGTCGAGGCATAGATATGAGTTTTAATGCGCTGTGGATTAGAGGTGTAGATTGAGAAATCTAGCCTTGAACTGTAAACCCGAAAGCTTGGCGTAGTCTTTTTTCCCGAAAGCTCTGCGAAGGGTTCTTTGGAGAAAACTTCTCCTGCTTACACTACACACATATACAATGCATGGACATACATAACTTATGGACATGTCTAACTTGCCCCACGCACTTGTTTGCTTCATGCACTTGCCTGCTTGCGCTACTTACACTACGATTCCTAATATTTTGATAGCAGCCTAATTAAATTCCCAATGTTTGAATAGCAGCCTAAATGACATTCTTAATATTTGAATAGCAGCCTGATTACAGTTCTTAATATTTCAACAGCAGCCTGATTAAACTCCTTATAACTTAGTCTATTTTATTAGCCCTGCATAGGTCTAGCGCACCTTAGCACTATGAACCTTCTACAGGGATCCTGCGTGTCGCGGCGCTGGCGCTTTGGCGCGGTGCAAATTTTCAACGTCGCCGATGATGAACCCTTCACAGGGGTCGGGCGTGTCGTTCCACGTCGCGGATGAATCCTCTGCGGGGATCGTGCGCGTTGCATCGCTGGCGTTGTGGTTCCGTGCGCGCATGTGCGCGCTCTTCTCGCCGATGAACCCTCCGCGGGAATTGTGCGCGTCGGAAGTGTTACCGCTGTGGATCCGTGCAAATTCTCAACGTGCGTCTTCGCTCGCCGATGAAGCCTCTGTACGGCCTCTGCATGTCCGTCACAGTCGCCGATGAACCGTCTGCATGGATCGTGCACGTCGAAGCGCTGGCGTTGTGCCGCGGAGCACATATTCAACGTGCGCGGTGAACCCTTCACGTGGATGCACTGCACTTACACCGCAGCACGTATACGACGCCACACACACCCACACACACCCACAC